ATCCTTGGCTTTTGCTTTTTGCGGTTTTAATTAGCCACAGTCAACTATGGTTTGAAGCTGTTAAATGGAAAATTCTAGAAATAAGCAATTCACAGGTTTTTAATTGATTAGTATGATTAAGTCTTTCATCTTCCTGCTTCATCCAGGTATAAGCAAGATTATTTCTTTGTCCAGCATAGCCCAGCTGTGTCTACTACGTGGCCATTGGTCATTTAGTAGCTATCTCAGGCATCAGATTGTCTGTGGCAGCCTAGTGATTATAGAGAGGGTTTGGTATGATCTGTGGTTTCAGGCATCCAGCTGGGATGTGGAAGCGTATCCCCTGCAGATATGGAAGACAGTGGTTTTGGATTTGTTAAACAAGCAACTGGACTGATATATGAGTGAATGTATACAGGGTCACAGAGAGAAGAGGTAACTAGATCAGGAATGACTTGGCATGGTGTTGCATGCCTGTAATCCCAATATTTAGGAGGTTGAGGCAGGAGCATTGTCATGAGTTTGAGGCCAGCTTTGGCTACACAGTGAGTTCAAAGTCAGCCTGAACTGCATGATGAGGCCCTGTCTCTAAAACCAGGAACAAAAATAAACAGAGAACTGGGCCATCCAAATAGCTCAGCAGATTAAAGCGCCTGCAAGCAGGCACAGGGGGTTTGATCTCTGGACCTGCCTGCTGGCTCTGTTCCCAGGATGCGCTGAGCCTGCAATTGAGACTGGGTGTGGTGCATGCCTGTAATCCCAGCTCTTGGGAGGCTGCAGACAGGTGAATCACTACAAGTTCAATCTAGTAGTGAGACCCTGAACATCCTGCAGACCTTTCCCTAAAATACAAAAACAAACAAACAAAAAAATCAATCAAACAAAAAAGGTCGGTGTAGATGATTCTTTAGCAGTTTTGAATAGTACTATGAGCTTGCTACATAGGCTAGAAAGGAAGGGCATTCCTGAAAAGGAAATTGCAAAAGCAAAGACTTAGTGAGGCCTCATCTGTTCTGGCAGGGCTTGAGAAGGGTGCGGCATGGAGAAGAGAGCAGATGAACGCCTGCCTGGCAACCCATGAGCATGCTGAGGTGTGTGCTGCAGAATGGCTGATGCTGGCCTTCAGCACGCTAAGCAGATGCTTGCCTACTGAGCTGTAGCCCCAGCTCAGGGCTGTGTTCAAGACAAGGGTTGTTCGTGCTGAACATTCCCCCCCACCCCCACCCCTAGCTTCTAAATGTCCTTGCAAAGTTTTAAACAGTGGTGGAAGGCAGTACTTCTAAAACTTTAGATGCTCAATCTCCAGTACTGCATGCAATGAAGGCCCTGGTGCCGAGCCAGCCACCAAAAATTGGCATGGTGGCACACGCCTGCAATTCCAGCACTGGGGAGGCTGAGACAGGAGGATCAGTATGAGTTTGAGCTACATAGTGAGACCTTGTACCAAATAAATAAAAATTAGAAAAAAAAGCAGATTCTGATCCTTTGGGCCTGGGGTGGAGCCCATGACTCTGGATTTCTTTCTTTCTTTTTTCTTTTTTGAGACGGGGTCTTGCCATGTAGCTCAGGGTGGCCTTGAACTTGTTCTGTAGTCCAGGCTGGCTTTGAACTCAAGGTGATCCTCCTGCTTCAGCCTCCTGAGTGCTGGTCTTACAGGCAGCTGAGTTAGAAATATTATAGGCAGTCAGACAGGGCGAGGCCCTCAAAGGAGATAACACAGAAGACAAGATACCTTACAACTCTGGGAGGGACGGATGCTCCCACCATGGGCCAGACCAAAAGACCAAAGATCCAACAAATGCCGACCTCCCTATAGATTGGCATCTGAGATTGCTCATCACCCTGAGGGAACCAGAAGAATCATTAATCCGACTACTACTGGATGGCTACCAGATAAAGTCCTGTTCTACATTCATACCTGCTTGCTACGTGACTCCCTTCCTCATTTGGTTCTGAAGTTAATCAATTTTACCTGAACAATGGTGCTTATAATCCCATTGACTGACCATAGTTTTGTCCCACCTCACGCCCACCTAAGTGAGTTCCTGTGCTCTCTACCACCTTAGACCCACCTCACTGCATGGTTTTACTCTATAAAAGTCCTTAGAAGAGATAGCTTCCCGGGGACAACCTGCTCAGACCCTCCTCCTGTCCCTCTCTCAGACAGGAGCTTTCTTGCCCTCAATAAATATATTCTGCTCATAACCTCCGTTTGTTCCTAAAATTCATTCTTCGGTTTTAGAGAACACGAACTCATTCAAGTCAGGTTAGGAGCTCATTTTCCCCCTATATCATTCGGAGGTCACCCAGCTGAGATCAGTTTTTCTCCCTATGTCACTGGGATTACAGGGGTGTGCCATCACACCCAGCTGGGTTCTAACGAGCTCCCAGGCGACACTAGTATGCTGGCCCAGGAACCGCACTTTCACAAGTTAGGCTCGAAATCCACATTGTTAACTGGGAAGCGCCCTGTGGCCTCCACAGGAGCACGAACATCAATAGGAGACTGCTTCCTTTGGGTTCTTTGAAACCCTGCTTCTCCTAGTAGGCTACAGAATTGAGCTTTGTCCAATAAAATGGTAGTGATCAATGGCACTGGGCAGAAATGCCAAAACCATAGAGCTTCTAAAGCCCATCTTAGATATGGGTGTCTTCATTCAACACAATATCTCTGCGTTTTTGCTGCCCAGGCTTTTTATTGTTTCCTAGGGGAGGCTTACTCCCTTGCAACACAGGGGTACAAGAGATCCGGATGGGGGGTGGCTTGGGCTGGGGGGCGGTTCCTGCAGCAGCTCTCCTGACCTCTCTGCCAGCCTCAACCTGCCAGCCCCCCTTGGAATTTACTCTTGCAAGCTCAGGTGGGTTTGAATACTTGATCCTGTTGCTGCCTCCACCTCCCAAGTGTTGGCATTTCATCCCTGGGCCCCTGCGCCCACTGAATTCATGTCTTGCCTCTGTTGCCTCCAGAGCAGAAGCCTCTGGACCTGCTGTTGCAATCAAGTGAGAGGCAGAAGCTGCTTCCTTCAGTTTCTGGGCCTCCCAGGCACCCTTGGCTGCGTAAGAAAAAGAAGGAGGCCGGTTACATCAAACCAAAAATCTCTGGCTGCAGGGCTGGGCTGAAAAGTGTGTGGGGCAGCTTGCAGGCTGGTGCTGTGAACTGGGCTCGGTGGGACCCTCCTGAGTCAGAGCTGGAGCCCGGCTGGCTGGAGCGGGTCGTGCCTCCGGGCATGCTTGGAGCCTTGGGGTCAAGGGCCACAGGGATAGCACCAGGGGTGGCACTGAAGTTCCCCCCCAGGCTAACCGCTCCCCTTTTTCCCTGAAATTCCTTCTCCTGGACCATCCCTTTGGAGCCAGACCCTACTGAAGGGAGGAAGCTCCTGGGGCCAATCCATGTGGGATCCTGGCAGGCACACAGAGGGCAGCTGGCCACCCTGCCTTCTGGCAACTGCTTCTGAACTCTGGCTCCCGTTACCCCTTCTGTAGTGATCCTGGCTAGATTTCACTTCCTTCACGCAGTCTGATCTCTCCAAATTCCGCAGCCTGGTCAGCCTTGTGCAGTTGGTGGCCACTTGTTTAAGGTCCACTCTGCCAGGCACTGTGCAGGACTCTCGCCTTGCTCCTCCACATTCTGCCCTTTGCCCCTTTGTAACATCTTCAGGCGCTAATGTCTTCATCTGTCATCTTAGTGTTTTCTTCCCTGGGGTTCTAAACAACCTTAGGGCTGGTTTCTTGTCCCAGCCCTGAGTAATAAGCAATGTGGATGAGTGGAAATAGCCAGTGCTTCACCCGGGCCTTGGCTTAAATCCTGGCGCCTAACTACCTACCGCGTGTAAAAGGGTAAATTAAGTCCTAAGAGCTTCTTCCTCATTTGCAATTAAAGGAGCAGAGAAAGAAAGAAAGAAAGAAAGAAAGAAAGAAAGAAAGAAAGAAAAAGAAAGAAAGAAAGAAAGAGACTTAGGTTTAAGATTAAAATGAGATACTATATGTCAAGTACTAGGCACAGAGTTGGTGCCCAGAAACATGCCCCTCTCCCTCCTTGGCACATGGGTGGCATTGCTGCAGAGTCTCTATTCTACTTGACAACCACCTTGCTATGTCCCCACCTCGATTTGCCCACTTATGACAATTACGCCTACTATTTCCTTCCCTTTTCAAATGTTTTGAGCCCATGTGCACATGCGTGCACACATGCGCGCGCGCACACACACACACACACACAAAACTGGATAATAAATGTTTACCAATCACCAATGAGTTCGGACCATCAAGCTGTCTACTTTGATGGCACCCACTTCTACCTCTCTTTTCTTTCCTGGAATATTTTAAAGCTAATTCTAGTCACTATATCACTTCGCCTGTAAATGCTCCGGTGTGTATATTTAACCAATAAAGACACTGGTGAACGCAACCACAATATATTTTAATTACACTGTACAAAATTTAGAATTATTCACTAATATAATCTAATATCCAGGCCATATTCATTTTTCTCCATTGTCTAAAGAATGTTTCTCTTGTTGGTGTATTTGAATCAGGGTCCCACAAGACCTGTTACACTCAGGACTGCTTTTGCACAAGCTTCCCGTGCTTGTTCTGTTTTCCCTGGAAATGCTAGAATAAGGAGGAACTACTACTTCTTGAAATTCTCTCTGACTCACTTGCCTGAACCCTTTCCAAATAACACACAAAAAAACCAAATATTTCCTTTTTTTTTTTTTTGGCCTTTTTAAGGGGATGTCTTTAGGTGAAAGTAAGAAGGTCCTCTCCCCTTGTAGCAGCTTGGAAATAAATGGATTCCTCTATTAGCTTTCAAAATCCAAAAATTCCAGGTGAAGGAATATTTGTGATATTTGCTTTAGTTCTTGTTTCAGAGCACAAAAATTCCTGGCAACTCTGTTCTTCGCAGGAAGACTTTCTGTGCCCTCCCACCTGCTTTTGAAATCCACCAACCATAATATTTACTCTATCCCCCTTTTTCCCTCTCTCTCCGTTACACACTCCCCCTCTCCTTTTAGCAGCCACATACGAGTCGGCCATATTAGAGAGATGGAAATAAAGCTTCCCTGATGTTGTGTATGTCTGCGAAGTACGCCCGTGCATTTTCTCTTTTAGCATTTAACCGTTCCTCCCCTGTTGTCCTTGGTCCCTCCAACCACCCCCTCCCAGAGCCCACCGCTGAACACCTCAGCCTGGGAAAATGCGCGGGGCTGCTTGGCCACCTCGCCCTGCCTTCGGTCTCACGGGGCTCAGTCTCTTTTTCACTTTGGGTAAGTTAGACCCACATCTGCATGCTCCGGAGGGTCCAGAGGCCCAACTCCCTGGGCGGGGGGCTGCGGGCAGAAAGGAAGAGAGACATCGTTAGCGCTTCCCTCGGTGTCCTTGGGAAGGGAGGTGTAGGGGGCTGCAGGGACACGGCCGGCTGCATACTGCTGGGATGACTGGGTTGCAGAAATGTTGGCTGGGGGCTCTGAGCGTTGCTGCGAGGTGAAAATTGTCAAGGCAGGCGATTTGTCTTGGATTCCCTGAGTGGACTCATGTGGGGGGTGGGGTGGAGGATAGGATGATACCCGGTGTGTCTGTGGGTTTTTAAATTATTATTATTATTATTATTATTATTATTATTATTATTATTATTATTTGCTCCTGTGGATGGAGGGTCCTGGGACTGACTGCTTCTTTGAAGGACTTCTGCCTTTTGCGAACCCGGGTCCTTGAAATCCGATGGATTTTAGGGTATTCAAGAACAGTGTTTGGGAGAGATGGGGGCGGAAAGTTGAGTCTGGGTCTGGCGTCCTGAGAGTCTGTCCCCCTGGTTTGTCGGAATGTGTGTGAGCAGGACTGGAAGCAGGCTCGAGGAGCAGTCTCAGAGGGGGAGGAGGATGGATGTGAGAGGTGCCTGGGCTGGGCTCCTGGAAGGAGAGAGGGGCAGGGGCAGAGATTCAGGGGAGGAGGAGGAGCCCGGGGCTGTGTGAGGCCCTTCAGAGCAGTCTTCCGACTGTTCAGCTCCAGGTGGTTGCCGGCCTGTCTGTCAGTCCTGTCCAGTGGCCTCAAATGTTGATTTCATATTTGACCAGTCATAGACTTCCCGATGGGCAGGTGGGCTAGAAAATTCTTTGGAAGTCGTTTTATAGATAACTTTGTTCTTGCTCCTGCACTTCCTCGCTGCTTCCCAAGGGCCAGGTCCACAGATTGCCAGTGGGAATGTCCCCTACCACAGTGGCTTGCTCTCTTTCTCTGTGGCATGGTATGCTGGGCATTGGGCAGGAGTGCCAAGTGGAGTCATGCAGAGCCCCTGGCAGCCCGCACCATGAGGTCTACTAGCTTTGCTGAGTTAGTGGGCACATTAACAACAGAGCAGAAATGTTGTAGAGGCTTAACCTTGGGGTTTCCAGCCTCCCTTGTTATTGCTTATTAACCACCGGCATGTTCCTTGGCTCCCACCAGCCTCAGATCTCTCATGGGTAAGCTGGACAGTGCCTCCTTCTGGTGCATTTGTGACCTGCACACAGCAGGGTCAGCAGTAGTTAACCTTGCTGAAAGGATATTAGTGTTGTTGGGTCCTCCAAAACAGGTGGGAGGGCTTTCCATGAGCCTAAGCATAGGGCTTATGCTTAGTGCTAATAGCAGTTGTTAAGACATACATACTGTTATACACATGCTTCAAGGAGGAAACAGAGGCACAGAGAAGTTAAGTGATTTCCCCAATGGGTCGCATGACCAGCATAAAGTGGAGCTGAGATTTGAACTCCTGTGTGTCTGGCTTCGGTAAATGCCGGTCTTAAATGCTGGGATTCTACTGCCCTCTATATTCAAGAAGTGGTACTGCCCTGTTGATGGCAATGGACCCAAGAATCCTAAGTGTGGACAGGAGGCAGGTGGGTGAGTGGCCTGGAGCTAAAGGGTAGGCACTGTCTTTCAGGAGTTAGGAAGAACATTCTATGAGAAGGAAGATGACCTGTGAGAGCCATTTCTAAGTGAAGAACGCAGCCAGGACCCTGAACTTCAGGCTGAGGAGGAGATGGAGCCTGGGATAAAGAGATCTGGATGTAGGGGCTGTGAGGGATGGGACAGGAAGCTAAAACCTCACCAGACCTGGAGATGCAGGAACAAGAGACCTTGAATTTGAACCTGACGGCCTCTTGTACTCCGAGGCTGTGCACGGCCTGGACCACGGGACTCTGGCAGTTGTAGCGACACTGGTCAAGGGATGCCACGAATATTGAGGGAGGGGCCGACAGCGTGGGACTTGTGGTGATGATCGTGGAACTAGTGAAGAGGAAGAGCAGGCCTAAGGAAGAACTCAGGCCCTTCTGCTTGCCACGGAAGCGCTTATTCCACTGAGCCATCTCCCCGGCACGAGAAACTTTTTGAATGGTTGGGCTCCCTGGAGTTTTTCTCAAGATCTTTGATTGATTCTGCAGCTCCATCCCTGGTTACCAAAGTCCAGGTTATGGAAGGTGGGCTTGCAAAGTGGTTCTGTCCTCATGGAAGTCCCCTGCACGTACCTGCTGCTAGCAAGAGGCGCCTAGACATGGAGGGGAAATGTTTTCCTTTCTGTCAGCAATACCATTTTTTTTTAAGACAGAGTCTTACTATCTAGTTCAGGGTGGCCTTGAGCTCACTGGGTAGCCCAGGCTGAACTTGCAGTGATTCTCCTGCCTCAGCCTCCTGAGTATTGTGATTTTAGGTATATCCTACCATGCCTGGCTTTCAACAGAATTTTATTGAGCACTTACTATTATGAGGCCTAGGGAAACCATGATGAACACAAGTTGGTTAGGTCCTCAAAGCCTCTCGAGGGCCATAAGCACATAAACAAATAATAGCAACACAACTTTGTGCACTGTAACAATATTAGCAACATTGGTAATAAGGGCAGCCCCCTTTTGTCAAGGGCTATGTTAGGCCCTTTAGGGATGAGCCTTATATATGTAAGGGGTCATTAAATCTTCAGTGTCCCCTGGAAGTAGGTCCTATTACTGTCTCCTGTATGACAGGGGAAGAAAGACTTGTTGGAAAATTAACTCTGTGGCCTAAGATCAGATGGGGCATTGGAGCCCCTGACTTGGCCAATGTGCCGTTCTGCCTCCAAGTCACAATGAAGATCAGGGAAGAGAGGGACATGGCTTGGGAGGGGGCAGGATGCAGGAAAGCTGGTGCCTAGTTGATGCTTGCTGAGCTGGTACCTAAGAGGTATGTGGGAGAAATCCAGGGCAGAGGGTGAATGAAGCCTCCTGAAGCATCCTTCCCCATCCTGGAGCAAAATGATGTGCAAAGATCAGGAGGCAAGAGGGAAACATTTGTAGGAAGGATCAGAACTCTGGGGACTCTGAAGTGAAGGGATAGAGGGAGGGGAGCTGGTCAAAGATGAGGCTGGGAACAGGTTGGTCTCAGGTGGCAAAGGGCTCGGGGGTGTGCCATCTCTGTGGCAAAGTCTGGACTTGGTCCTGAGAACAGCAAGGTGCCACCGAATTTTGGAGGTGAAGAGTGATGAGGCCCCGTTGCTCCTGGCTATGTGGGGGTGGGAGGAAGGGAGGGAGGGAGCCCTGGAGGAGGAAGGGAAGGAAGGGAGGGATGGAGGGAGCCCTGGCTACGTGGGGGTGGGAGGGAGGGAGCCCTGGAGGAGGGAGGGATGGAGGGAGCCCTGGTTATGTGGGGGTGGGAGGGAAGGAGCCCTGGGGGTGAGAGGGAGGGATGGAAGGAGCCCTGGCTACTTAGGGGTGGGAGGGAGGGAGGGAGCCCTGGAGGAGGGAGGGAGGGATGGAGGGAGCCCTGGCTACGTGGGGGTGGGAGGGAGGGAGCCCTGGGGGTGGGAGGGATGGAGGGAGCCCTGGTTATGTGGGAGGGAAGGAGTCCTGGGGAGGGAGGGTCCGCATGCTAAGGCCATGCAAATGAGGACATGGCCTGGATGTCACACTTGCCTGGAAGGCAAGGGCTGGTCCAGGAGATAATTTCTCTGCTCAGGTACTTTAAACCAAGAATAAAACAAACCTACCTCATCGATTGCAGTAGAGTTGGAATGGGGAATGAGGGGAGCTGACTTCTGGCTTCTGAAAGCGTAGCAGACAAGCAAATTTTCAGGTTCTCTGTGAGATGAGTGAGTTAGAGCAATGAGCGACACATGGCTGCCTGTGGGTGGCCAGATGTACCTTGGACAGGGTACCCAGCGCTGGTGATGTTTGGAAGCTAAGACCAGATGTCACATTCTTACTGCATCTCTGTTGATGATCCTCTCCGTGAGCAGGCCTTGTCCCAGGGGGACATAGGTAAGCTTCAGGATCCCTTTTGGGGATGTTCATGTGAGTAGGTCCATTCCCTGCTGGTCAGCCAGCTTGGAGCTGGGGACAGGAAGTTGGAAGGCTGGGCTTGTCATGTAGACTTCAGGAGACTTGTTCCCTAGGATGCCTTGGAATGACAATTGCTTCCCCAGGCAGGTTCGACCCTTCTCCCCTGTCTGGAGCCAGACAGCATGAGTTCACATTATAGCTTTGTCATACACCAGCTGTGAATCTAGGCTATTCATCGAACCGTTCTGCACTCCATTTTCTTACCTGGAAAGTGGGAGAGATAAGAGGGTCACTGTGAGTGCAGATAGTGCTGATCCTATGCCAGGCCCTCGTCAGCACTTCGTGGGCATCTGTGTTTATTAGAAGGCCTCTCTGTGAGCCTGCATCTGCTCCCTTCCCAAAGCGGCAGAGTTAATGCCGAGCCCAGGATGCTGTTCACAACTCTGACCTTGAGCAAAGGTTTCCTGGTCTTTCATGTGGTTTCAGACTGGTGGAAGACCCCAGGCCCCTCATCCCAAGCCTCTGGGGTTCTGGTGCGGCCCTCAGTTGCATCTTGGACTGGGAGGAACAACCCTGATCCTGGCCTTGGCTTGTTACTATTCTCTGTGCACCTCTCCCTCAGTCCTGCTTTCCTTGGAGGTCAAATCATGGCACCAGATCTACAAATGCTGGGGTTCAGCCAGATCTGGCATCTTCTGGTTTGGTGACCCCTCTTCCTTCCTACAGATGGAAGTTGACGCTTGACCTCTGTGACCACTAGAGGGCACATGTTTCCAACCTGGTGCCTGTGACAGGGAGGATGAACCAGAGCCTGCATTGCACCTCTACCGCACAGCCAGCTAGGCGAGGCCTCCCTAGCGCTTTCTGCCTTCTTACGCAATGGTAGTGTGCTGGTCCCTTGGTAGGGCTCAAGCTTGAATCCAGAGTGCTGCCTGGGGTTGCCATGGGCCTGAGGAGGGTGGAATCGAAAAGGCCTGTCATATGTGGCAGGGCACTTCCTTTTTGTTCAGGGGGTCCCGGGGAGGTGGCAGCCCTTGCAAGGGAAGAGGCTAGAAAGACAGGGCGTTCTTGGGACAGAAGGTAAACTCAGGACAAGCTTCCATCTTCCTGCAGATTTCTCAGCCTCTGCAGAGCGGGGGTGGTGTTGGCATTTTCTGCACACCTCCTCCTTGCTTGGTACTGGGCCAGGCGCTTTCAGAATGGATATGAAAGCGCAGGGGGTGAGAACTAGGCTTTGTTCCTCCCGTGGGCCCACTCACCCTCCCTAGTTGGTGCTCCCCTAATGAGCACTTAGCTTGTACGTGCTGTCCTTGCCCTGGGGTGAGGTCCGCAGCCTGTCCTTCCGTCAGGGATTTGGTGGAGGGATTAGCAGTTCAGAGCATCTCCTGCCCTTAAGTCCTGCCACTCTGCCCTGCCTCTTGCCCTGGGGACACGCGAGTCCCGAGGGGCCAGCTCAAGGGGTCCATCTCCAATGTGCCCTTGGGCCCAGACTCCATGCCCCTCCAAAGCCCTTCCTGCACATGAGGTAGAACCTGAGGATAGTGCAAGATAGTACCAGTCACCTCGTGTTGAACATACCCTGCTTGCTTTAGTTATCAGAACAACCCCAAGGAGGGCATTGTTGGCGTGTTCACAGGGAGGATGCTGAGGCATAGAGAACGGGAGGAGCTTACTTACTTTCTGCCAGCAGATGGCGGCAGAGCTGGTATGGAATCCAAGTCTAACCTATTCCTGTGTGTATGTTGTCCCCATATCAAGGGCTGAAATTCCAGCCAGGCGCCCTCCTTCCAACCCACCCTTGAGCCCTCTAGTGACTTCCTGTTCCACTCAGGCAGAGGTACCCCAAACGCCATGGGCAGGCCTTTTGTGACCCAGTCCTGGCCTCCTGCTCTGACATCAGGCCTCACTGTTCACCCCTTGATCCCTCTGTCCCTCCTCAGATGATGCGGGTTGGAACGCTGCCCTCAGTGCATCCCTTGCCGTGGTCCTCACTTCCTTCCCTCACTTGTGCTGGGCACTGCTGGACGTCGTCCTCTCCAGCAGTCTTCCTGGAGCAGCTTGAATAAAGCCACTCCTTTCTGCCCGGCTTGGTCCTCAGAGTGCACAGTGTGGATCACTCCCTCCAGCCACATTTTTGTCTTTTCCTTGTTACTGTTTGTCCCCCCTCTCCAGAACACAAGCAGTGTCTGCTTCATGGTAATCCCATGGCCTTGCGCATAGTAGGTTATTTGTAGGTCCTTAGTAAATGAGTGAATGAATGATGTTGCATATTTCTGCTAATGATTTTGCATGCATGAATGTGTGTGTGCGTGTGTGTGTGTGTGCGTGTGTGTGTGTGTGTGTGTGTGCGTGTGTGTGTGTGTGTGTGTGTCTGTGCATGTGCATGTGTGTGTGGTGCAGGGAACTGAACCTCATGCTTTGCGGGTGCTAGGTAAGCATTCCACCACTGAGTCCTGTTAAGTTAGTCTCTTGGGTAGAGGCTGTGACAGCACTGGCAGAGAATCTTAGAATCAGGATCAGGTATAGCGTGGAGCAAATGAGATGCCCGAGGGTAACTTTGGAGGAGGTATTTTTGTGACCCCAAAAGTAGATGTCTCCTTGACTACTAAGTCCTATCTGCAGCATCTGCCCCGCATAGGCCCTGTACTGCTTAGAACGCCAGAGCCGGCCGGGCCTCTCTCAGCTCAGCGCTCCTATCTCTTGGCCCAACTTGGTGCCTCTCCCCGGGCTCTTCAGGACCTGTGCTTACCACCCCACCACCTGTCAGCCTGAACCAGTTCCTTGCAGGGTGTTTCCATGATTGCCATCTTCAAAATGTACTCGTGTCCCTAGAGGCCTGGCAGCTGGTCCTCAGGACAGAGCCTCTTTTGGGATACCTCACTCTTCCCAAGGCGCCTCTGCCCTCTCTCCTGCCTGTTACACTCTGAGAATAGTGACGGGCTGGGCTGGGCTAGGACACTACTTGCCTCATCCCTGGGCATATAAAGTGAACAAGACCTCCTGAGTCCCTGTCTTTCCTCAGCTGCCTGTCCAATGTGGGGCACTGGAGCCTCAGCTGGAAGGGCTTTGGCCTAGCAATGATGGTCGGGAAGGTGTGGGGACAAAGGGGGGAACTGAGGCAAGCACAGTGAAACACCCTATTCAGCTGGCAAATGAGCTGGGCCAGGTAGAGGGGCTGCCCAGCAGTGGTCTTGGAAAAGACTGGGGCCCTCTGTCCTTGGCTTGAGAGACCTGCCACAGCGCCACTCTGCCTCCCTCTCCTGTCCCACGGGCCAGAGGGCTTGCCCTTTCCTGGCCAGAGTCCTCACCAGCTCCTGGCTTTGTCTGCAGTGCCATCAGGGCGGAGCATGGAAGTCACAGTCCCTACCACCCTCAGCATCCTCAATGGCTCCGATGCCCGCCTGTCCTGCACCTTCAACTCCTGCTACACTGTGAACCACAAGCAGTTTTCCCTGAACTGGACGTACCAGGAATGCAGTAACTGCTCAGAGGAGATGGTAAGTGCCAGGGCACAGGAAAGTAGGGGCCCTACAAGGTGAGTCACCGTCCCCATCCCTGTTTCTGCCTGGAGCAAGGCCCCGGAGGACTTGGCAAGGTCCTCTGCCACAGGGAGCTTTGACACAGGAACACACCACATCTAGGTGGCCCTTCTGGGGTAACTGCCCCTTCCCAGATCAAAGGGTGCATAGGAGGAGGTGGCTTCCCCACCAGGCCTGTAGCACCTTCCACATCCGGCTGCCTGCCCTGCCCCCTGCTCCATTCTCCAGTTCCTCCAGTTCCGCATGAAGATCATCAACCTGAAGCTGGACCGGTTCCGAGACCGTGTAGAGTTCTCAGGGAACCCGAGCAAGTATGATGTGTCTGTGACGCTGAGGAGCGTGCAGCTGGAGGATGAGGGCATCTACAACTGCTATGTCACCAACCCGCCCGACCGCCACCGGGGCCATGGCAAGATCTACCTGCAGGTCCTGCTGGAAGGTGAGGGGTGGGCGCTGAGCCTCTCTGGTGTCAGCTCAGGGCGTGTGGGAGGCCATCCCCTCCTCACTGTGGCGCAGCCTGAGCTGAGTGGAAGCCACCTACTTTCTTCCCCCCGCCCCTCATGGAAACAGGTCTCAGAGTCCTTAGAGGGATACTGATCTTGATCACGACTTTAGAAATAATGGTGGCTTGCACGTATTGGACACTTAAGATGTTCCAGCCTAATCTAACCTTTCTTTTCATCCTCATAAAGACCTCACAAAGGAGGTACAGTTAGGATCCCCATGTCACAGATGAGGAAACTGAGACTAGAAAGGGTGAGTTATCTAAGGTCACACAATTCATTAGCTGTACAATCTGGAGTCAAGCTTAGGTCTAGTCAGGCTCTTTGTCACTCCATTCTAATGACTCCTCTGGGGCTTTGTGGTGCCCTGGCATCGCATGCAGGTGGGAGTGCTCAGTGGTCAGTTGTTTGAGTTGGTGTTAGGCTTTGGCTGGAGTCTTACCCAGGGTCAAAGGCAGGACTCTCCCTCCCGTAAACACATTCCTTAGGGGAGCAGTGGTGGGAAAGAGGACCCCCTCCTTATCAGCCCCCGTGCTCAGTGAGTCTGCTTCCTTTGCTTCCCCAGAGCCCCCAGAGCGGGATTCCACAGTGGCGGTCATCGTGGGAGCCTCCGTGGGGGGCTTCCTAGCTGTGGTCATCTTGGTGCTGATGGTGGTCAAATGTGTGAGGAGGAAAAAGGAGCAGAAGCTGAGCACAGATGACCTGAAGACCGAGGAGGAGGGCAAGACGGACGGCGAGGGCAATGTGGATGATGGCACCAAGTAACAGGGACCCCTGCAGCCCCTCCCTGTGTCCCGCCTCCTCCCATTCTGCCCCGTATGTGTGACCCTGCTGCCCTCTCTTGGTGTGCTTTTCCTCAACAGGACTCCAGGGCACCCCTGGGGCCTCATGAACCCCTCACTTCGTACCCCACACCCTGTACCAAGAGCAACACACCTCTCTTCCATCTGAGAACCTACCATGGCGTCCAGGATGTGTGGGCCCTGGGGGGAAGAACAGAGGGGCTCCACCCTGCCGGTCCTGAGAGGAGGCAGGAGGCATGTCTTGGTGTCTCAGAGAAAAGATGGTGAGGGCAGGCAGCGGTGGAAGAAGGCAACTGTCCAGCCACCTAGGGATGGATCCGGCAGTGGCTTCAGGAGGACCTGGGGTGTAGAGGAAGAGCTCTCCTGTGCTGGCCTGAGCGCCCTCCGGAAGGCCTTGGCTCTGGCCTTGCTGCGCCCCATGGACTCCCCCTGGCCCAGAGCCTCCTCTCAGGTTGTGGGTGAGGAAAGCTTTCATGATTTGGGGCAGGGGCATGTGAGAGGGAGGATGGTGCAATTCTAGGACACTGAAGGAAAGCGGGCTGAGGCAGACCTGGCGCAAACCTTGGCCCAGGAAGCTCTGTTCTGGCCCTCGTTTCCATTGTTAGCTGCTCCCTTAGGAGGCTCTCGGTTTGCTGTCAGCTACTGACCTCTCGGGGATGTTGCTGAGGACAGAACTAGAGAAGCAGCTCCAGGTAGGGTCATGCTTCTTCCTGCTAAGGACTGGGAGAACCAAGTCAAAGCCAGCTGAGGGTCTAAAGAGAGGGGCTCTGTCATTAATGGGCTTGGCTTCAGGCTGCCTTCTCTTCCAGGGCCGCCACCTTTGCCTGGGTCAAGAGAAGCCAAGATTCAGGCCTTGGGTTGGCTTTCCAGTTGCCCTCAGTAGGGCTTGTGTCCGACTTTGCCAGGAGGGAGGATGGGAAGGCTGGAGGGAAGAGGCAGGGCTGAGGAGCTTCTGAGCCCAGGCCCAGCCTTGGTTCTCCTGGAGCCTTATTCCCTTGCCCCTCTGCTCTAGCAGCTTCTTTGTGAGTGAAGAGAGTAGTACCTGTGTGAACCAACTTTCACTGCCATTTTATTCACATTAGAACGGAATCATTTAAGACTGGGGAGAAGGAGAAAGACTGGGTCAGAAACTGTGGACTCAGAGAACCTTCTGAAGTTAGCCAAGTCTCTTAGGTGTTGGGGAGTGGAAGTTCCATGCGATGGGAGGCCGAGGGGCTTGCTTCCTCTAGCACTGGGACCTCCATTTTGAATCAATACAGCCATAGTTTTCCTGGTGGGTGGGCCTCTAGGGTCTGGTGAGGGGGAGATGGGGTGAGGGTGCTCATCTAGCCCTGCTCCCCCACCAGGAGCACAGCCCCTGTCAGCTCAGGGAGGTAGGTGTCCAGAGTCTGGGAACAGGGGATAGTGACAGCAAGGGGTGGTGACAGTCTCAGGGACCAGTCCCTGCTTCTGCCTATCAGATGGCCTATTTGGGGTGGGGGCAATAACATGGGAGATTCAGCTTAATTCACTTTAGTTCAACAACCATTTATTAAGCATCTTCTCTGTGTCAGGCACCATGCTGGGTGCCAGGGACACACACAAAGCCATAACAGAGTTGGAGACTGCCAGGTCAGCACTTTAGGATTAAGATTATTATTATTGATATTATTATTATTATTATTATTATTATTATTATTATTATTATTTTCAGTGAATCTACTTCCACCTCTATAGCCACTGCTTCTAGGATGAAAGTTGAGAAGGAAGAGATTCTAGAACCAGGACCTTGAAAAGGGAAGGGGGCAGGTACAAGTGCAAAGAGGGCTGCAGAGGCCCGGCAGGGTGGGCTTGGAGTCAGGGATGGGCAACCTGCAGGAGGAGAGACCCCGGGTGAGGAGAGCCCAGTCCCAGCGGATTCTGAACTCATCAGCTCAGTCCCCAACTGCCAATCAACACACTGCCAATGGGGGTGGGCTAAGCCATTGGATACCTGGAGCAGGCGGATGCCACCCATCCTTCAAGTCAACCATCCCGGGCCAGAGAGGAGGGCAGTAGGCACCTCAAGCCAGCTGAGACCAGGGACGGTGGACACACTGCTGCAGCTGACAGATTTTATTATTTGTCCTCCTCTCCTGGGTAATGAGGATCTGCACTGATGTCGGCAATGTTTCTTTTTCCAAGACTTAGAGGGATTATTTACAAGATTCCCTAGGTTTCATCTAAAAAGTTCTAATTCTCCTGCAACATTTCTGAGTTTTCTCTTTCTCTGTCTCTGCCCCGAGCAGGTGGGGTCTCAGACCTCCCTCACTCCCCGGGGAACCAAGGTTGGGAGCGAAGTGGGGCTTCTGGGAGTGGAGGTGGGAAGCCAGTGAGATGTTCACGCAGCAGCCATTGCTCCACCCTGCTTCCAGCTTATGCCAGCAAGCTGTTCCTGCCCTGCAGTTGGGGTTCAAGCCCCACTTCCAGCTGCATGCTCTCACCACCACTACGCTCTGCTGGCTTCAGTCTGTTGGCTTGCTCCACCACCTCCACATCTCTTCTCCCAGAACCCTCTCCTCCCCATCTGTCTCTTCCTCTTAATTAAGGGCCACTGCAAAGAGAGATGGGCTGGTAAACCTGTGGGATTTAGCTGACAAGAACAAAGCACAATTTTTCAGGACTGAAATGCCTTGAGGTGCCTTGGAACTGGCTTTGGAGATAGCTATCTGTCCCTCCAGCCAGGGACTCATCACAGTTAGTCCCACCTTATAAAAAAGAAAACCTGATTGGATCCATATTTCTCTCTGTGAGTCTTCAGGGGAGGTCAGGCTGGTAAATATTTGCAAAGCTAAGTTAAGCATAAGCAGGGAGACAAGTAGAAATCCTGGCCAGGTTCAAAAAGATAGTCCCAGACCACAGAAATGGATGGTAAATTGAGGGATCTTCCATCTTACTTATGTCTTAAGAATAGACAGGCTGTGTCCCTTGCTGTGCCTCTTGCTGATGTCTTCCTTTACTGAAGCTTGCCAATGCATTTGCACATAGCCTCTCTGTATAGGTATAGCTATATTATATATACAAATATACAACATCTCACTACACCCACCCCAGAAGTTACTCTGCAGAGGGAGGGGCAATCACTTCTCAGTGTTTTGAGTTGATTCACCAAAGGCAAATTATGGAATGTTCTTCTTGCTTTTTGTGCACTTGGAGGGGAAAACCCAGCTGCGTAAGAAGATTTTATGCACATCTAGGCTTTACATGCTGTGTGGTGGTTGGCAGGTGTGTTTGGAAGGGGAGAGAAGCTTCAGTGGTCCTTTGTGGCCCGGCTGCAGGACTGTATCTGCTTCCAAGAGCAGGCTAAGTTTCTCCCATAGTTTGTGTGATTGCTTGTGTCTGTCGACTACAATAAACACACCGTCTCTCCTGGACATCTCTAAAGTGTGGCTTTTTTCAGGGGTTCACAGTAGGCTATGTGGAGGGCTTGCCAGGAGCCTGGTGGGGACCCCTGGTGCTCCTTTTTCTGGTAATTCCATCAACACAGCCACATCTGTCATCTAAAGACTTCTGAGGCCGACCTACTCTCCTCTCATACAGATGTTCTATCCCTTCATCTTCCTGAGCCTTCTTGGACTCTACCTATCGTGGGAAGCTGCCCAGGACAGGGAGGCTGAACTCTTGCTTCTGGGAGGGCGCTCAGTTATTTCTGGGATGAAGACAACCCTTAAGAACCCAAGGTTGACTATTCTGGGGGTGTTGTCTATTCTTTCTATAGACAGATGGGCCATCCTTCCTCTCAACAGTATCTGACTAGGCAAGTAGCTCTGGTGCAGGCTCTGCACTCCAGAAAAACAGATGGCAGCTGCTCAGTCTGCCCTGGTGCAACTTCACGGAGGAGAGTGGCTGGTGGGAAGATCCAGGTTGCTCCTGTCACATCCACACATGTACTTCTGCATCCTATTTCCATAGTGCTGAATCAGCATTGAGAACTTCGAGATCAAAGCCAACCTTCTGGACAGAGGCTCCGCCATCCCAGAACACACACACACACACACACACACACACACACACACACACACACACACACCCCTTTGCTCAGGAGGTTTCAAATGGCTGAAAGGTATGGTAATACTGCAGTTTCTCTCACTTCTGCCTGCTCTGTGATGACCCAGAGGCCCTTAGCTGTGGCTGATGTTCAGGAATACCAGGAATCCAGGAGGATAGACAGAACTAAAACCTAAAACTACTGCAACTGCTCCCTGAGCAAGATGCCAGAAAGGATGCAGCAGCAGTAAGCAAAGGTGGCTGGAACTTAGCAGAACCAATGGGCCTTGGTTTAGAAGGGTATCTGTGCCCTGGAGCCCAAAGTTCTTCCAAGAATGGGATGTCCGGGATGGTGTTTCTATATTCAACAGATATGGAAAGTGAAGCAAGGGACATGGGCCAAGCACTGGGGAGGAGGCTGTTTGGTTTCTTCCAGGCTCGATATAGGACTCTACAATTCAGCCAGGCTGCAGCAGCTTCCTCAGCCGGCTTTTCTCCAAGGACACGAGGAGGACATGGGTAGGCTTGGTCTGGCTTCTGAGAAGTTGGGCTTGGCTCAAGTCCTTCCCTAAATTGATATTCTTTGGCCTGCTTGGGTCCTGGGTCAGGGGCAGTTTTAATTGCACAGTGGGCTGACTTTGGAGGAAAGACTAACTCTTATGCCAGCACGCAGAATTGGTCCCTGGCTTTCTGGGTCTCTCAGCTAAGGTGCAGGTCTTGTATGAAGACAGCCCCCACCATCTCTTCACTATCCTGTGGTATCACCACAGTGAGATAGGAATCTGGGCCAGAAAGAGTTACCTGGCCCCACCACTGTCCTGAGGGGGAAACAGTGGACTAGAACTTGTGTAAGGTCACATGCTGCATTATACACAAAGACAGGATCTTGCAGCAGGCTCCAAGTCTGCTGTTCGTCCCATAGCCAAGCCCTAGTGCTTGGTCTAGCACTTGGCAGGACTCCACACAGCAGCACCCCCAGCCCAGGCTCCTGCCTTCCCCGTCCCCTGCAGTCCTGAGTTGATCTAGTAGAGGCATTCACTCATGCTTCCTTAAGGGCTGTTTTTCAGAAAAGAGAAGTAATTTGACTGAAGTCACATAGCTGGCTAATGACCTGAACCAAGACTCCCCCAGATAAAGATCTTCCTTAGGCTGACCTGCTGTCCATGGGGGAAAAGACACATGTCTTCAGCTCCACTTCCCAGAGTCCCACGCCTGCAGTGTTGCTATGGCTTCTCATGTTGATCTGTATATAGGTCCCCCTTTCCAGGGCAGAGGTGCCATCCAGATACTTCAGGTGACAGAAGCAGGCTGGGCCTGCTGGGACACAGCTTGGTCAGATGGATGCAGAACAGGTGGACAAGCCCACTAGGTCACCTGGCTTTCTCGCTTGGCACCTTGGGGGCTCAGAAGCCCTGTGGCAGGGCTCTGTATAAGTCTCAGAGAGCCCTGGAAGCTTGTCTGCACTTTCCTGACTCAGGTTCCGGTCATCCCTGAATTCCTGCTATCACACTGATGCCAGGGAAAAGCTTCAGCTGCCCAGGGGATGAGAGTCCCAGGAGGCCTGGGGTAGGGATGCCTGACTGAGATCAGCATCCTGCACCTTGACAAATGCATAGCTTCAATGGGGGAGGTCCCCGTGGGGTCTTGCCTAGGACTTCATTCCCCTGGAGGACTGAGGCTACCTCTGGCAAAAAGAGGGAGGAAGGGTGGGGGTGTAGCAGACAGACAGCTGAAGTAGGACAGAAGAGGAGCCTGAGGTGGGGCCCTCGGTGGCTGTGGAGAGTTTTTCCTTTTCTCTGGCAATTCGACCTTGAGAGTCTAGAAGGTAATAGGAAAGAGACACTGGACACTCAGCCAGGCTACTTGGGATTCCACAGGAGGGGGTCTCCCCTACAGCCCAGGCAGCATCAACTTTATCCCAGCTGCAGCTGCCTCTGCTTTTCCTCTGGGACAAGTCCCCATAAACAGATGGTGAAGGGACTAGGGACAAGGAGACTAGGAACTGTTTGCCTCACAAATTGAAGAGAAGGGGTGCATATTCAGCCAGGAGGAGAAGTGTATGTCATGGTTGTTGGCCTGGGCTGTAGCCATAGGGGAGAGGGATCAGACCTGCTCCATTCTGCCCCAAGGTGAACTGGCTGGCCAAGGCAGCTATTGATTCAGTGTAAGTCAGAGCAGTACAGAGGGCTGGTTTCTGGAGGTAATGAGATCCCTGTCCCGGAAGGTATGTAAGCAAAGCTTGCGGGGTGTCGAGAAGATTTCTATACCAGAGCATCCTTTAAAACGGCTGACAATGAGCCTTGGCAGTCTTCATTTTAGGACTCAAATGATAAAAGTAGGAGTAACTTTTGCTTGCTGAAATAAATATGACTGACTCTGGCCTGTCCCTTTGCCATCTTACTTGATCACAGTCTGGCCAGGGCCACCTCTGTTCTCTTTACCTAACTCTTCTTTACCTGGCTCTTCAGTGGTGTGGGTGGGGGATGTGGGAAGAACCACTCATATAGTGAGACAGTGGCCAGGAGAGGTGGGACATTTGAGGCCAGGTGTCCCTGGGGCTTCTTGCCAAAGGTCAGGTCAAGCCCAACTTGCCTTCCTTGGCCCTCCAGCCAGGCCAAAGATTCCTTTCCAAGCAAGACTGTATGGAAAAAAGTACTCCCTGCACCACCTTCTCCTAGCTTTATGGGTGAGCCTCACACCCCCAGCATACACACCGTGTGTTTCCTACTGGGCTAATCCTCTTGGTGGTTTCCATGTCCCTCCTAAAAGGGCTGGAGAGCAACAACTGGCTAGACCAGTAGGAACAATCTCTATTTAATGGGAACCTTCCTGTGCCTGACACCAAACTAAGTGTTTTATGTCTATCAGCCTACTTGATCTTCATAACAAGCTCTAAAATGTGCCTTCCTTTCTCATTTTTTAGCAGAGGAGGAAACTGAGGCTATGCTGCACTAAGTACACACACAAACAAGGCGACATGATTGGCAAATCACCAAGGTCGATCCAAACGCAGGGGGTGCATGAATCCAGAGTCACCACATCCCTATGAGAAGGGGCCACGGGCTGGCTCCTGCAGTCTGGAGACTGTGGAATGGGTGGGGGAAAGGCCATCGCAGCCACCTTCATTCACAAAGGAGATGGGCTGCTATGCAGAGCTAGTTGGGCCGGTGCAGAGCTTTCCCAAGGCTACCTGGCCTGGTCCTTTGACCAGGATCCATGCAAACACCTGGGTCTCTGTTGCTACCTTCTTTGCTCTTGGCTTGTGGTCCTTTTCTTTCTTATAGAAGCCCGGGAATCTTCTTCACCCACTGGCCAGTTCTCTCTCTGTCTCCATCCCTCCTCCTCGGCCTGAGCCACACTCCAACTTCAAGTTGCCTTCCACCCCAGGATGACTCTACACTGCTCCCAGGCCTTCCCTCCCTCTGCTGTCCCCTGCTCCCCACTTCTCTTCTTTCCTCTGCAGGGTCTTCTCTGCCAGATGCCACAGTGTCCCCTCCCTCACTTTATAAAACCCACCACTCTGACACTAAAATGTCCATAGAGGATAAATGGGGACAGAAGAGTTAGGAAGTCCTGCTTGGTAGTTATACCACTTTGTGCTTCTGTCTTAGAGCAGGACCATCTAGAGGACCAGAGGGACATCTGGCCATCAGTGGACATGCTGGTCCATGGGCAGTAGTTGCAATGAATGACAACCCCCCCCCGTTGCCTCCAACCCCACCTCCTAAGCCCCCCTCCCCTGTTGATGAGGAGTAGAGAGACATGAACCCATGAAGCAGAGAGGTGAATACAGCTCTGGTACTAGGCAAGGTGGCTGAGACTCTACCCCAGAGGGCTTTAGAACCCACCCCAACGTGGCCCAAAATAAAGAGATGCCCAGGACTCACCCTGTCTCTGAGCTGCACAAGCAAATCATATGCCTGCTCCTGGAAGTGGGCACAAACCCGCTCCAGCTTGGGATTGTCTGGAGAGCATCTCTCTGGTCAGGATGTTTAGCTCCCTCCTTCCTCTGCCTCCCTCCTCCCCATGAGCTCATCTGTCTGGGGCTCCCCATCCCCCTTTGCCTGAGAGGTTGTTTGGACAGAACCTGGCAGAAAGCAGAAAAAGCAGAAGGGAGGGATGGAGAAGGTGGCTGCCTACCTGCCTGTGCCCAGAGCACTTAGAAAGTGGAGAGAGGTGAGAAGAAATGAAGATGTCCTGGGAGGAGGATTCAGAGAGACTTTGTCTGTACACTAACTCAGCAATGCCAGGAGGGACTTGGGGATCCGGTGCAGGCTGAAGTGGCCTTGCAGCAGTGTTCCCTGCCAGCCTGCTAAGCCACGTGGCTTCAGTTGGTTTGGTGCATGCTGTCCTGTTAACCCCCTCTGCACCTGCCAAACTTCAGCGG